CGAGCTCCCAGGGTGTGCTGATGCTGCTGGTCCCGAACCATACCTTCAGAGCCACCTATCTGGGTCCTTGCCACTCAAAGTGTGGACTGGGGACCAGCAGCAATAGATTCCCCTGGGAGCCGGAGAGAAATGCAGAGTCTCAGGCCCCACCCAAACCCACAGAATCAGAATCTTGTGCTCTAACAAGAGCCCAGGCTATTCATCATTACGTGAAATTGTGATTTGCACTATTCTAGAACAAAAGTTCAGGGAGAGGGGATGAGGACATGGGAGCTGAAAAGGCGGAGGTCAAGGGCTTACTACCCATCCCTTTACTGGCCTTAAGAGCCTGGCCTTCCTCCTCACACATGGGAAAAAGGAAAAGAGGAAGAAACATCAGGGGAACTAGGCAACTATTAAGCCAAAAGCAGAACTGGGCAGTGTTTTCTGCCCCCGGCAGTGCCAGCCAGGGGCACGGTGACCTGGCTGGGAGGGGAGCGGACTGATGGCAGGGCCTGAGGCAGCCTCCAGAGAAAGCAGGCGAGGAGGCACTCACCACAGGGAAATGGACATCACAGCTAACCCCAGGTTTAATACTTACTCCGCTGAGGGTTGAGCTTTTTTTAATTTTAAATTTTTTTAAAAGATTTTATTTATTTCTTTGAGAGAGAGAGAGTGAGTAAGAGAGAGAACACAGGCAGGGGGAGGGGCAGAGGGAGAGGGAGAAGCAGACTCCCCACTGAGCAGGGAGCCCGACGTGGGGCTCGATCCCAGGACCCCAGGATCATGACCTGAGCCGAAGGCAGACGCTTCACCGACTGAACCACCCAGGCACCCCTCATCTTTCCTTTAGAAAAAGAGAGCATGCCAAGCTAGTCTGGGCAGCTTCGTAATAGGCCTTACTTTACAGGAAGGAAGGAGGGAGGGAAGAGAAGTGAGAGCAGCCTTTTTGAACAAATGGGCTTTTCCCAAAATGTGTGCAGATTTCAGGCTTAGGAGACTGGGCTTCCTGGGTTACCTGTCAGCAGCGGCACCGGGGCACCTGGCGTTCAAGGACTCTCGCTGAATACAGGTCCTCCTGGTCCAGCCCAACCAACACCACCACTCCAAAAGGTCAGGCTGCGAAGAACAAGCCACTCTCTGTGGCTTTGTTCATCCTGCCTGTTAGGGTCTCGTCCCATCCCCAGTTCCCAACTTTTAAGCCCTAGTCCCTCACGGCTACACCTGGAAACCATGTAAGCCCCAAGTGCCCCTTCCAGGGCTCCAGCTAACTCTTTTCATAATTGCTCACATGGAGGGTAATGCTCAACCTCCCAAAGAGTCCTGCCCCTAGGGATTTGCTGGGGTGCCTCTAGGAGCCCCTTTGGCTTTCCGAGAGGTCATTCGTGGGCTGCTTACATTCTTGGAGGCCTGAGAGTGGGCTCGGAGCTCTGCCAAAATTAACATGGTAACCAAACAGGCAATATTCTTAACAGAGGAGGAGTGGAACGTGTAGTTTGCTCTTAATATACATATTTCAACAGCCCTAAAGATAAAAGTATTCTGAGATTCTAAATACTTGCATGTTTATTTAGCACTTAGGACAAGCCAGGATTCTCAACTTACTATGAACTGAGCACACACCTGAGAAGCTCTAGACCACCTGGCCACAGAGTTGACATTTCTCTCTACTCCACCTGAAAAGAGGAAGGGGAAAAATATCCATGTTGCCCAAATCAAAGAAACCCACACGTAAACTGAGTAAGTATTTAAGTGTTAAAAGGGAAAACACTCTTCAAGGTAAGCTGGTGGTGACTTCTCAACGTGACACTTTGTCACTGCTGGGAGAGGGAATCACAGGATTTTATTGGGAAGCATCAAACCGAAATCAATTCAGGGCAAGTTCCAGAGGCCAGAGAAGGGATCAGAGCAAGGTCCCACACAGAAACTCAGCCACGCTGTTGCTGACCCACAGAACAGAGACAAGGAGGGAATCTGGGCTCCAGATATGGCTCCACCCAGGCCAACCAGAAGGCACAGGCCCGCGCAGCCAGTCCATAAAGACATACCTCGGGCCAAGGGCACAGGACAAGAAGACACCAGAGTGGTTATTGTACAATAAAGAATCTGTCTGGTCTTTGTCCCCAGTTCCTGGGACGTAACTGTAGCTCCTCAGAATTTCTCAGCAACAGGAATGTTCCTGTTTTTCCGGGTGTACCCCTCGGATCACACCTGAGTGTTTACTCGAAGACCCAGGATGGGGGTGATATCAGCCCACCTTCTTCAAGGAGGAGAGAGAAGGGCAGGCTGGAGACTGAGTTCAATCATGTGATCAATGATTCCATCAATCATGTCTACGCAAGGAAATCCCGATAAAAACCCTGACCACTAAAGCTCAGTGAACACACTGATACGCCGAGAGGGTGGTGTGTCCTGACGCCACAGGAGAGGACATGGAAGCTTTGCATTCAGGGTACTCCTAGACCTGGCCTCACGTGCCCCTTCATTTGACTGGTCCTGATCAAACTGTAATCCTGAGTACATTGCTTTCCCGAGTTCTGAGTCCATTCTAGCAAGTTACTGAGTCTGGGGGTGTGGGAATGCCCACATTTGAAGCCAGTTGGTCAGAAGTGCGTGTGTCCTGGTGATCTGCAGCTTGTGTCTGACGTGAGAACCGTCTTATGGGAACTACGCCCTGAAGCCTGTGGACTCGGCACTAACTCTGGAATGGTCAGTGTCAGAACTGCATGCAGGCCACGGCGGTCCGGCTACACCCTGCCCTGGGCCCCCAGCCCGTATGCTGGACTCCCCTGCCTCCACGGAAAACCCAATCCCTTCTGAAATCAGGGTTTTTGAGACTCAATTCGGGCATGTTTGAAAGGCCAAAGAGCGAGTGTGATCTAGATCTACAACACTGGGGAATAAAAAATAAAGCATGGACTCCCACTTAACAGCTGTGTGACCTCAGGAAAGTTACTAACCCTCTCTGAGCTTTGATTCCTATCTCTATGGAGATGACCCTTCCCTCTCATGACCCTTCCCCCTCACAGAGCTGATGGAACAATTCAATGATATAACGTTTTTACAAAGAGCCCAGCATGGTTTCTCCCCGAAAAAGGCACTCAAAAATCATCAGCTAGGGCGCCTGGGTGGCTCAGTTGGTTAAGCGACTGCCTTCGGCTCAGGTCATGATCCTGGAGTCCCGGGATCGAGTCCCGCATCAGGCTCCCTGCTCAGCAGGGAGTCTGCCTCTCCCCCTGACCCTCTTCCCTCTCGTGCTCTCTGTCTTTCATTCTCCCTCTCTCAAATAAATAAATAAAATCTTAAAAAAAAAAATCATCAGCTAACTTCCCTCCTACTTTTTTGTTGCCCTATACCCCCAAACTCTCCCAGATTCTTTACTCTCCCTGGTTAACTGTCATGGGTGCTGGGCCCACGGGCAACATGCTGATGTTTTAGATCCCAGGACAGCAGGCAGCCAACCATTAAACTAAAAGTGAAAAGCAAGTAACCATTACCTTGAACAAAAAGGACATTTAGATTTACTTCAGTGGCTTTAAAAGACACCACAAAATATGATATGCAGCGTGCATCCTCATGATTAATAACAGATCTTGCAGATTATTCTCTCAGGTCTCTGGGTGCGTCCAACTGGTCACTAAGAACAATTAATTCTTTCAGGAAATAGAGGGATTGCACATAATCTCTGGTCAGTGGAAAATCTGCTTGTTGTATTATGAATAAAGAGAAGAGGAGACTCAAATTTAGTAGTTTCCTGCCCCTGTGAATGGAGTGAAGTAAGATCAGAAAGACTCAAATACAATGACCGTCCGTGAGCACAGGTGCTCAATAATAGTAGGACCTGCCAAATGGACCTGGAGTTACAGCAGTTCAGGGAGGTCCCAGAAACAGGAGCAGATGACTGAGTGGGGGCCGGGCAACTCTGGCAGGTGGGCAAGAGGTGGAAACATGGAGTCCAGATAGGTGACAGGGAGATTTCAGAGTGGAACCCTAGCCACAGTGGCTGAGGCTTACACTACAGTCTCCAGGACGGGCATCAAATGATGAACCAAAGGGCTAAGTCAGGAAGCAATGAGTAGAATGAAGCAGGTGCCTGCTCACAGGGAATGTGGTGAGAACCCAGGGAAACCCAAGTCAGAGGCTCCAACAGAGCCTCTGAGTTCCTGACCACAGTCTCAGAGTCTTGGAAAGGAAGAAACACCTACAAGGGGCAGGAAGTGGTCACACGGGGAAAGGCTGGAAGACAGGGGCGAGATGACAAGTAGAACACAGTGGCCCACGGCGTCCAGGTCCACTCTTACCGAACGGCCAGTGTGGATTCACTCCCAATCTAGAATAAAAATCCCACAAACAAAGCCCTTCCCTGCGACCCTGAAGGGGTTTTTATTGAAACACCAAAGGGGTCACCAGGACAGCCAGGAACTCATGCCTCGGATGCCAAGTCACCTTGCTCAGGTGCAACACCTCTGGGAATGACAGGGCAAGGAGAGGGAGTCCATTCCGAGCAACTCAGAAACTGTGCGCTCTTCCAACAAAACCCAACTTCCCACAAGTTAAATGTAGAAATTCACGTAGGAAGTCAGTGAATTCGTGGTCCATCCTGACAGTAGGAATGGTTACTGGAAGTAGGGGGACATGCAGCTCCATGGCGCCCACGAAGGGACATCCAGCCCAGTGGTGCCCACCAGGAGTGGGAAACAGACTGTTTATGCTGTCTCCCTGGATAAGGAGTGCAACCTCTCATGTAGGGCAGCTTGTACAGCCGATGAGACAAGGCCTACGGCGTAGGAGAGGGATTCTGGAGGTGGAGTGTAATGGTGCCAGGGACAATGACTGTGGAGCTCCAGGCTACCATGTGACAGAAACAGGGCACCTGGCTGGGGACATGACAAAAGAATGAGGAGTGAAAAGTGCACTTGCCCACCACAGAGTCACCCTGGAAAGGGAGAGGGGACAGCAAGTCCGCTCAGTACAAAGTGGGCAACAGCCGGCAAAGCAGGGCCAAGACCCAGCTGGCCAACCTCAACTCCTTCACACGCAGAATGAGTTCATGAAGGTTGATCTGCCATAAGTTGAAGGCCTCTCTGAAAGAGATCTGGGTCCTTCTGAAGAACGAGCAGGCGTTCTTCTTCTTGTGCCTGCAGGAGGGACAAGAAGGAAGGAGAGAACCAGAGATAAATGGGCAAGAAGCGCTCATTATCACTTAGAACAATGGAAGGTCGTGGCTTAGCCTACTCACCAGACCCCCGCCCCGGTGGATGACTCCTGGTTACATGATCATGCCACTGCCCACCCAGGGACCAGAAGAACTCAAATACTCTACAGGAGCTTTCCAGATCAAGTGGGGTAAACAAAAGCAGTTGTTTCATTGGGCATCAAAGGCCTAGTGGACCCACTAGGCAGAACATTCCCACCTTTCCCTTTTTCCATATGTTTAGTAAATACATGCCAATCCTGAACCTCCAAAACTCAAATATAAAAGCTTTCTCAAACTTTCTGAGGCTAAATCACCTGGAAACTAGGTCAGGTGGTCCTGAGAGGCTGAGCCTAGTATGGAGTCAGCCCACAGCTCAATCCCTTCTGCACTAACAAGAGGACGGGATGGAAACTGGTGTTTATGGTAATGACCCATTCAAGACTTGGTTTCCAGAACGCTCAAAGGAAGAATAAATCATGTTCAGCCCTAACTGTGTGCAGTCTATTTTGCTATAATCTAATTCTAATCTAATCTAATATTTGATCATGGGTGCATGATATACATGGCCAACGCTCCCTTCACCAGACACTTTGCCAGAATGACCCACTCCCTGCATAGGATGGATGGGAGTTGACCCCAGCCTTGGGCTCCCCTCTCAGATGAGAAAATTCAGCCAGAGCATGGCTCTTCCCATGTATCTGCACACTCAGGAAGAAGGGCCTAGAACCCTCACTTCTCTAGCAATATCTCCCTGAGGAAGCACCTTCCCTCCCTTCACCAACACTCCAAGGGTACTGAGGCGTCTGAAAAGATCTGAGATCCCCAGTGAGCCTGCTGGCAACACTCCCGAGTCATGGCCACACCTGCAGGGAAAGAACACTGGCTTTGCTGCCTAGCCAATGCTGGGGAGACAGGTCCTGGGACCAGTTAGAGATGGGTTGCACATCAGGGTGTCCTGATTCCAAGTCCAGGGGATACTTGGGTGGGACTGAGACTCTCAGAAAACATTTCAAAATTTACTGAGGGTAAGAATCACCTGGAAAGCTTAACTAGGAGGGTGACGTCCTAGAACCCACCAATTTGACAAAGTACAGGTGGCTCTCTGGACCACTCAAACATACCGCCCAGAACCGGGGAATTCGCTGGAGTCATTTCCTGCCCCGAACTCTTCCTCCAAGGAGAGCTGGAGACTGGGGAGCTCAGACAGGGCCCTGGGGACTGGTGGGAGAAAGTGGAGGCCAACAGTACACCCCCCACCCCCTGCCCTGGGGCAGGCCAGAGAGCTGGGAGGGGAGGAGAGGCCGAAGCCTGCACTCACGCAGCCAGCGCTCTGATGCAGCAACGTGACATGCTGAGGAAGGAGCTGGCCCTGGCACGGGTGCCCAGGGCGACCTCAATGCCACGGAGCAGGTCGTTGGTCTTGAAGATGAGCAGCATCTGGCGAGGCACATGGTTGAGGAGCTGGCTGATCTGGGGGAGGTAGCTGGCTGCATTGTCGCGGATCTCTGCGTCCTGAAGCAGCAACAGGGAGACAGATGTGGGGAGCTGGTGTGGAGAGTGGGGCCCAGGGTGGTAGGTGTCAGGGCAGCTGGTGGCTGAGGGGCTGCAAGGAAGTTCCAGGAGGGAGCTCCTAGCATGGCTGCCTCAGCACCACTAGGAACCTCCCCAGGGGGAAGCTCAGCACAAGGGGCTTCGTAGTCCAACAAGACGTGGATGAGACATCTCACCCCAACTTCTGGCCAAGCACTGGATGCAGTACAAGAACACATCATCAGGGGCCTCTGCCATCCCTGGCTCCCCACAGGTCACCAATACCCATCCTTCAAGCCTACAAGCCTGTACTGACTGGGGCAGGAAGTCTGCTTCCTCACCAATCCCTAGATGAGGCTGGACTTAGCCAGCCTCTCAGCCCAGGGGTTCACCTGTGTGTTACTCCCCAAAGCTTTTTCCCACTTGCCACCAATTTCAGGCCAGGCTTAGAAGGAGCCCTGGAAGCTGGTACCTTCTGTGTCATGTCCCCCATCCCTTCAGCCAAGCTCAGGCTGGTACAGTTCATAGATCTGAGCTCCTGGCCCCAAACCAACTCTAAAGTCCTGCTCTATATCCTACCTGACTCTGCAGCCCACCAGACCTACCCAGAGCCCCTGCTGCCCACACAGCCACTGCCCATCACTGACCTCCATGCTGAGCCAGTCTCAGCCAGCCCAGTGCTGGAGGTCCCAAAGCCCAAAGAGCAGGAGCCAGGGGTAGCCCTTACCCCACCCTGGTGTCTGAGTGTGAAGTCTGGCCTCCCACCCTTCCCTGTCCCTGAACTCCGCATGGCTCTGGGCAAACAACGGCCCCCAGCCAGAGCCCTGAGCACGACAATACACCTCTGACCTCTTCTCAGTCCCCAGAGAAAATGCTTGTAGGCATTAACTCATTTGATCCTCATGACAACCCTTTCAGGCAAGTGTATCACCCCCATTTGAGAGGAGGAAACCAAGGCACTGAGAAGTTAGGCACCCCGCACAGGGGCCACAGCTGGTAAGTGGTGAGTTGGGATTTGAACCCCTACAGTCCAGCTCCCGAGCCCATGCCCTCACCACGAGGCTCTACTGCCTCTCACCTCCCAGCAGGACTGTGACCCTGGGTAAGTCCTTTCATCTCTTCTAACCCAGTGTCCTCACCTAAAAAGTGGAAATGCTCATACCCTCCATGCCCACATCCCAGCTGGACCAAAAGGGTCAGCAGAGATAAGGAATGGGGAGACGCTTGGTGCTAATCAAAGTCACAAGGAGGGGCCCGGCTGTGCTGCCAAAGGCTTCCCCACATGGCCACCTTCTGTGCACAAGCAGGACTCTCAGCCCTTTCTGGAACATGTGTGTGCTGCTGATAACTGAGTCGCTGTGAAACTCAAAATGTCCCTCAGGCAGGAGCTATCAGACTGGAACATCTCAAAACGAAGCCAGACACTGAGGCTGGCTGTCTCCTCGCTGCCTCCCCCCACAGCCGCGGGTCATCCTGCCTGAGGGTTAAGGCCAGATCAAGGTCTTGCTCACCAGAGGGACTCCCCCTCAGCAAAGTTCAGACTGGCCTGGAGACAGTCCCTCTTGGCTCCTCTCAAGCAAAGAGAGGCACCTGCACACACCCTGACTCGCTCTGGGGATATCTCTTCAAGCTTGGACTATCCTGCTGGTGGCTATCTACAGCAGACCCCGCTGGGTGCCTGCCCAACAGCCATTCCCCATTCTCCTTTCTCAAAAGAGCTGCGTTTTTTTCACTTGACCCCTTGGGGCTGTGCTCTTCAGGGAGGCAGAGCCCCTCCCTAGCCCCAGGGGGGATCTTGATTGATCTCAGCCATTGTCGGCTCTGAGCACGAGGCCTCTGCCAAGTGATTGGCTCAGGCATGGATATGAGACACAATTCTGGCCAATGAGACCAAGGGGGATCTGTCGGGGGACTTCTGGAAAAGGTTTTCCTGTTTTTAAGAAACAATATATGAGAAGAAAAGGCCCCTAATTCCCACCTCTGGACATCAGGGCTTTTTGCCCAAAGTGAGCAACTAGAGTCCATGTCTCCAGAACCAACTTAAATATCCCTCTATTAGACGTAGTCCCAGGACCTTATAAAAAGATATACAAGACAGTATCCTTGCCTTCCAGGTACTCACCAACTAGTTGGAGAATTCATACAAGTACGCAAAAGGCTACTCTTCGAGAGAGTTTACGGTGCACGCACATGAGTGAGACAAGTGTTAAGGGGCCACTTTCGGCAAAGGTGATGAGAAGAGGCTTCCTGGCTGGCCTATGGACCAAACTGTGTCCCTCTCAAATCACTATGTTGCAGGCCTAACCCCAGTGTGCCTCTAAAGGGGTAATCAAAGTTAAGTGACTTCATAAAGGTGGGGCCCTAACCCAACAGGACTGATGTCCTTAGGAGGAGAGGAAGAGACAACAGGAGTGTGTCCACACAGAAGAAAGGCCATGTGAGGACACAGCAAGAAGGCAGCCGTCTGCAAGTCAGGGAGAGAGGCTGCACCAGAAATCAACCTGCCAATAACTTGATCTTGGACTTCCAGCCTCCAGAACCATGAGAAAATAGATTTCTGTTGTACAAGCCACCTCGTCGGTGGTGTTCTATTACAGCAACCCTGGCAGACTAAGACAGCAGCATTTATGCTGGGTCTTTATAAGTGAATAAGAACACAAAATAAAATTCTAACTCAGTTAATGAAAACACATATCATATACGAAGTACCTACTGTGCACCATATGATCTTGTCCATCCCTGAGGCTTTAAATACCATGTACACGCTGAAAACCTCCAAACTTATATCTTTTGCTTGCTGAGCTCCAAGCTTGACTGCCCACGATGCCTCTATGTGAATGCTCTAACTTCTGCCTCCCGATCCCCAACTAGGTCCTTCCCAAAGTCTTCCCTATGTCAGGAAGTAGCTCCCCCTACCCTATAACTTACCCCAAAAAACTGTGTTGCAACTTTGACTCCTCCCTCTGCCTCCTCTCCACACCCAAGTCGACAGAAAGGCCTCTCAGTCTTACATCCAAAGTTCACCTTGGCTCTTCTGCTTCCCTCCACCTCCACTGCCTTTAGCGTGGTCTGCGCCCCCATCACCTCTCAGCCTCCTGACCAACTGCCCCATTGCTCATCTTGTTCCCTCCAGATACTTAAAATAACAACTCTGAGCACATTCTTCTCCTGATTGAAACCTGTCAAAGGCTTTGCTTTGTACTGAGAACTAATCCAAACTTCTTCCCATGGCTTATGAGGCCCCGTGTGAAGCTCCCTCTGCCCAGCACCCCAAATTCTTCTCATTCCAGCACCCACCTCGCCACACTCCAGACCGTGCCAACACTTCCTCTCCCTGCCCTGGCGCATCGCATGCCCTCACCTGGAATGCTCTCTCCAAGCTCTGCCTGTGCTGCCTTCCTTGTCCTCCAGAATGCTCAGCATATCTCTGAGCACCCAATCTACAGCACCCCCATTACTCACCCTGCCTGTTGCCTCCAGTGTCTGCAACCTGCAAGTATTCCATTTACCTGTTTGCTCACTTGTCTACTGTCTGTCTCCCTCAACCACAGAGCAGATCACATGGAAGGCCTGTCTGTTGATCATTGGATCCCCAGCACCTAGTCTCAGTTCCAGCAAAAACGAATGTTTGTTTGATGAACAAGTTTCAGGAACCATGCGGAGGCACTTTCCACACATTATCAATAAAACAGAAATTATCAGCCCTATTTTACGAAGAAGGGAGATGGTCTCTCTTTAAAGCCATGCAAGCCTGGGGCTGCTGGCGGTCATCACTGCCACCAAGCTTGCTGGGGAATGAGGTCAATTTGCAGGAAAGCAGAGCCAAGAGATGGCTAGAGGTGGCCTTTTTGGTGACATCATTTAAGATTCCATCCAGCCGTTCCATCATTTAAGATTCCATCCAATTACAGGGTGCCTGGGTGGCTCAGTTGGTTAGGCGACTGCCTTCGGCTCAGGTCATGATCCTGGAGTCCCGGGATCGAGTCCTGCATCGGGCTCCCTGCTCGGCAGGGAGTCTGCTTCTCCCTCTGACCCTCTTCCCTCTCGTGCTCTCTATCTCTCATTCTCTCTCTCTCAAATAAATAAATAAAATCTTTAAAAAAAAAAAAAAAAGATTCCATCCAATTATAAGGCAGCTTCCAGGGGAGGACCATGGGGCTCTGAGAGGGGAGGAGAACCACCCAAGGTCTGTCTGGTTGCACAAGTGGGACCTGTCCCTTGTGGTGAGCAGGGACCTCGGCAGAGTCCAAGCGGTCCCCACGTGGCTATGGGCAAGTCTGCACGGGTCTGGCCAACTGACAGACTGGGAAGACAGAAGCCAATTCCATGAGAGAATGAGGAGTCTGGGAAGGAGGTAGCTAGGAGTACAGGGAGGAGGGGCTGCTAGGACCAGTCTCAGCCCAGGCTCCATGGGATTCTCATCTAGATCCAATGGAGAAATGAACAACAAAGAGAGACCCAAAAAAGCTGTTTTAACAGCCACACACTCGTGGGGGACAATGGGACCTGTGTGTGCTCAGACCTGCCTCAGTGCTGCATGAAGAATTGAGGTGCCCCCCCACCCCGTAGGGAGGCATATAGGAAGCTTGTGAGGGGCACAAGTGGAACCAGACTTACTGATGAGACAGTCCCTGGGGATTCCCGAAAATCCTGGAGGAGAACTGGGGGCTGGAAGGGGTCCAAAGGCCACCCGTGGCCCCACCCCCCACATTCAGGAGAAGGCAAGGCCAGGAGGGGACCACCTACCTCTGTGGCGGTGACCGGAGCTTGGCCAATGCCCCTGTTGACCGAGTCCCAAGACCGGGCAGTCAGCATGCAGGCAAACAAGGGGTAGAGCTCCCCGGCTCCCAGGCGCTGGCTGTACTTCTTCACCTTCTCCATGTCAGTCCAGATCAGCGACTGCCAGAGGTGGCAGTAATCCAGGCGGAAGTCGTCTGTGAGCACCTGAGGTGGGGGACCATGTGGCAGAACCTGAGCCTCCTTTCCCCACGGAAGACCTAGCCCCTGGCTGGTGGACACTGCGAAGGGGGACTGATGAAGACTGGAGCTCCTGTGCATCATCCGCTTCTCCCCCAAAGTTCAGCCATCCCCAAGGGTCCAACGTGAAAGCTACCATCTGGCTGGCCTTGGTCCTGAGTGGCCGAGGTCACTAATTGCCCATCAAAATCACATTCCCCGCCTCCCTCCTAGTTAGATGCAGCCCTCTGCCTGAGCTCCGACCGATGCAATGTGGCAGAAGTTCCATGTTCAGCTCCTGAAAACCTTCCCATGCATGCTCCTCCAAGCCCTCACCCCCACTGCTGGAAGATGAGGAGACCACCCCCAGGGAAGCCTGGGGGGGCAGAGCCTCGGTCAGCCCCTGCCTTCAGACACCTCCACCTACCCGGGACAGGTATGTGGAGGAGCAATTAGACAAAGGTTGTGTCTGGGCCATCATGCGTGTGGGGTTGTGTGACAGCAGCTAGCCTACCTTAAACTAATGTACCCAATGTCACTGAGCCTTTCAAAAGAGGCCAAGATTTTGGGAGGTGAGATCAGGACTCTGAGAGGAGGAGCAGGAGACCATTGGGGAAACCTGTCCAGAACCCTCTGCCATGGACTCAAGATAGACCCTGGATTCTGGCATTGGCAGTGAACTTTGCAACTTCCAAGCAGAAGCTCATGGCTCATCCGAACCAGATGAGTCTCAAGTTCCAGAGGACAGAGGCTGGGCCCATCCAGCCCCTATCAGCTTCGGGTCCCCTTTCCCACTGCATATTACCTCCTCCCTGGGGCTGAGTGACCCCCTTCCCATGAAGTCCCACCTCATCGAGGGGCAGCTTACTTCACAGTGGGCTGACCTGGGCTTCCCGGGGAAGTACAGTGTTCACAGCTGACAAAGCACCTGCACGGACCCAGGCACATCCCCGTCTACTCCCCACAGCAGCCCGTGAATGAGGTGTTACCGACCTCATTTGACTGGAAAGAACTCATATGATGGGACTTGCACAAAATGACGGCTCTAGGGGCAGGGCAGGGCCTCCCCATCCACCCTGGCTATCTGCTTCCCATGTGTGAGGCCGATCGGGGAGTGGAGCGAGCTCTGATCCCAGGCAGACCCACAGCCCCTGGGCTGGCTGGGTGGGAACGGCCTCCCCTACCTGGTAGAGCCCGTGGTCCAGCAGGATGATCTCCGCCTTCCCTGTGTCCGGGCGCTTCCGCACCAGCACGTTGCCGGGGTGCGGGTCGCAGTGCACGAAGCCATTGACAAAAATCATCTCACTGTACATCTTGCCCAGGTGGCGCGAGATCTGAAAGAGAAAGGATGTGGGTGGGAGTTATGCCACCTTAACACCTGTCTTGGAGACTTCGACTCTGGCCCCTGAATCCGGTCACTTTCAAGAGGCAGGCCAGAGGCACCAGGTGGGCCTGGGCAGTCATGGCAGGAGTGATGGCCTGTGATCATACAGTTCTTGAGTTTAAGACAGAAGTTCAGTGCTAACCCTGTTCTTCTCAACTTCAGCGGCATGTAGAATCACCTAGAACTCAGAAGTGTTGGAGGTGGGCCCCAGACATCAGCATCTGTCATCAAGTTCCCAAGGTGATCGTAATACACAGCAAGGTAGAACCACCGCTTCTAGCATTTCCGAAGGCTGTAAATACCACCCCAACCCCCGACCTCCACTTTTTCCCGATCCTTCTCTTCCCTATTCTCTTCTCAATCTCTTCATTTTCTCCCCAAAGCTGAAGATGGGCTGGAAAGCCGGGGTGGGATCATCCCAAATTCCCCTTCTCCCAAGAGCAAAGCTGGATGGCTATGGGTGAGGGATACGTGACCCTGGCACCCCCTAGGGCTGTCCCACCAGCTCCAAGACAGTCCCAGGAGGACCCAGAGTCACAAGCCCTGCTCCCCTCTCCCTCGCACCTCCCTTCGCACCTCCCCGCCAGAGCCCAGTGTTAATCTGATTTATGAGGTCTGCACAGAAGAAATGACACTGGAGAGGCCATTTAAATCATCCTGTCACTGCTGCCCTCCCTGTCGAGGCGGTCTTCTTATCTCTACTCCCTTTTTATTAAAGCTAAAAGCCTCTTCCCAGCTAGGGAACAGCTGCTGAATAGTGCCAGACCTGGGCCCACAGATGGCCTGCCAATGGGTTTCCAGAGGACAAAGAGATACTCGACTCACAAAGCTGATCCCCAGGACCCACTCTGCCCTTGACACTGCTCTCAGTCCCTGATGGACCCCATGGTCACTAGCAAACATATCCCAGCCAGAGGAGAGGAGCTGGGGCCCACGGATGGTGGGGGAACAGAGGAGTAGGGTCTTTGCTTGGCCTACAAAGCCCTGCACAACCAGGACCAGCCTCCCCGCCTCATCTCATCTCATGCCACAGTGATGCTAAAGCCACTTCTGCTCTCTTTCTCTTCTCCAATGGCCCTGTGCTTTCCTACCTCAGGGCCTTTGCACATGATCGTCCCTCTCCCAAGAGCCTTCCTCCCATCTCCACTTCACCTAGTTTACCCCTCTCTTCCTTCCCATCCCAGCTCAGCATCACCTCTCTGGAGAAGCCTTCCTTGACCTCCTGGCCTAGATGAGGTTCTCCTGCCACAAACTCTCATCGAACTCTGTACTTTTCTTTCATGGTACTAGGACATTATTTGTATCATTATTTGTTAATGACCATGTAGCCCACTATTTTAAGTTCCCAAGATGGCAGAGACTGGTTCTGTTTTGTTAAATGGCTTTACTGAGGTATAATTTACATACCATCAACTGGCTCTATGACGCATCCACTTAACTATAACAGGCCAAACGTGAATATAGGACTCTACCTTCAACATGAATGAGACCCTGTGTTTTTTTGAGATGCTGTGGTTCCTGTCTTGATGCTTAACCTAACCCCATGAATCTCTTCTGAATCCCAATCAATTACAATTGGTCCCAAAATAAATCTTCAAGAATAACCTTACTATAGCAATAGCTGACATCCTTATGTCAGCTTTAAAAGTAGGTACAATTACGATCCCCATTTTGCAGATAAGGAGCTGTCATTCCTCGAGGTTCAACTTACACAGAGCCACAGGGCTACCCAGAGGTAGAGCCAGGATTCAAGCTAGGTATGACCCCACCACCTCCTAGCAGCCACACTACCTACAGGCTCACACCAACCTCTGCACTTGCCAAGTGAACTGTGTGACCTTAACAAGTTGCTTCTCTCAGCTTCAGTAAAGAGGTTGTCTGAGTCCTGACACATATCCGATGTTGCACTAGGTGAAATGAATGCCCAGTACTCTGCGGGCACTTGGAGGACCTCGCCCCAGGTCGAGTTCTTAGCCTCGGACTGAGATGTCAGCAGCCCCAGGGCCACCATTTTCTGTTTCCTCGGAGAGGGGCCCAGCTAGAGTTGGTCCTGGCTGAGCCAGCAAGTCCCCTTCTGAGAAGCCCTTTTGTTAGGCTCTTCGGAGCTCCATGGAGCCATGCTCCGAAAGGCTGCATTTGCCAAACCAATTGCATTTATTAAGTAATAATTCATTTTTATTTGTCAAGGACGCATATAAGGTCCAATCAGGGCTCCTGATCAGCCCAAGATAAGCAGTACAGCCAGACTGAGCTGACAGAATGCCAGCCAACAGCAGAGAAATGACATTTCATTTAGTCTGGGCAGACCTGTCATAGGGAGATGTATGATCTCCTCTGAGCTTTCTGAAATATTGCTAATCGCTCTGGGCCCCCTATTACTACATTGAAAGATGACCCCTAAGGGTCTGGGGACTCAGGATGGGGGAGCCCTTGCCCACGAGGAGTGAGCTGCTACTAGAGGAGGAAGAGGGGCTGCCAACTATATAGCTCATATATACACAAGCAAAGCCATCAAGTGGCCCTCCCCATTTCAACACCCCATCCAGATGCTCCTACTTGGGTGTCTTACAATTTGGGAGCTGTTCCTGATGTTCACTTTAACCAGATTTCACCAACATAGATAGATATGGAAGGCACAGACAAGACAGAAAACCAGCCTAGGCCACCAGCTTCACTCTGGTGCCATCTTGGTATGGCCACCTAGGACATGCCTGATCTGGGGGACAAGTCACCTCCCTTCTCAGTCTGGGTCTAAGTTCCCTTAACAGCTAAGGGATTAATTCCATCTGCTCTACTTCCTCACAAGGTAACCTCAACATTCAAGGTCAAAATGTGACCACATCTGAGAAAGCACTTTATATACTATATGCTATATATTATATACTATACTATATACTATATACTATAAATTGCTTATATTACTATATAAGACACAAATGTGTTTGTTGTAATGTGGTAGCTTATTATTTAAAACTTGGGGAAAAAATGTACCCATTATCACTTTCATCAAAGTATAATTTTCAAAAAGTTAAAAACATAACTCATAAAAATACAGAATGAACACATGTCAAAGATTGTTTAATTTACCAATAAAGGAGCAACTAAGAAGGGAGAGCTGGTTCAGAGAATTTTGAGGGACTCTTTATTTATGGGAATTTAAACAGGAATAAGAGACTAAGATTCCTGGATTCGATATAAAACTGGTTATTGTCCTACAGAGCAATAAGGAAATCATAACCTTTGAGGTTATCTTTTCTACCGGGCAGAAATTATTTGCATCTCTACCAGATAAGATCTACAGGTTGACGTATGACTTCAGTCTGAGCCCTTAATGAATTGTCAATAGCAGAGTCAAACACAAGTACATTCCCCTAGATATTAAAAAGCCCTCGGTGCACTGCCTGAACAATGCCCAAGAATGACTTTGAAAGGATACACCGCACACTCTTGGCCTTAATTTCTAAATTTTGGGTAATTTTTCTTCACATCTGTCAGAGTTGCAGTAAATAGTTTCTGGGCACCAATCTGCCCAGAGAAGGCAGCCAGCCCCCTCCTACTCACGGAGACCCCGAGGATCCCATAAGAAACCCAAGGCCATCACTGGGCACACAACCCTCTTTCCCAGCCCCTTGCCATAACAGTTTAGCTATGTCTCATGATTAAGAGCAAACAATTGTAAATACGGTAATGAACATGGGGATGCAGATATCTCTACCAGATACTGATGCCATTACCTTCAGATATACACCCAGAATGAACTGCTGACTCATATGGTAGTACCGTTTGTAATTTTTGGAGGAACCTTCACAGTACTTTCCGCAGTGGCTGCATCAGTTTGCCTTCCCACCAAGAATGTACGAGCATTCTCTTTTTTCCACGTCCTCGCCAACACTTTTCTCTCTTAGCTTCCTGAAGACCATTCTAACAGGGGTGAGGTGATATCTCCTTGGGGTTTAGATTTGTATTTCACTGACAATGCGTGATGCTGAGCAGCTTTTCATGTACCTGTTGGCTCCTTGTATGTCTTCTTTGGGTAACTGTCTGTTCTGTTCCTCTAAAGCTGTCCCTTGCCCTGTGACAGTAGCATCTGCACTAAGACAGGGGAATGCCACCATCTTAGAATGGTATTAGCCAACACTCTGGGCCAAACACCATTCTGGACACTTGCCATGGACTCACAGCCATCCTCTGCAGTAGACAGCCGAAGCAAGAAATGGAAAAAGGCAAAGAAGCTTGGTCACCCAGCTAGCAGTGAGTGAAACCGGGCTCCAAACCCAGGTGGCCTGGGTCCAGTGAACAAGCTGTCAATCACCTGCTCTCTCCTGCCTCTGCATTGACGGGGAAGCTCCTGCCTGGAGGCGAGGGCTGAGGTGAAACCCTCTGAAGGTCCGCGGGGCATCCAAGAAGGCATTCCATTTGGATTCTCCAAAAGAGTCAAAGAGGGAAATCTAGGACTGCTTCTCTAACCAAAAAACTCATTGTTAACTAACACCATAGTATAGCTCTTTTTAGAAAAAAAGTCGCTGACAAGTCTTTTCGTTGTTCTGTGTAAAAAGAACGTGCCATTCACGTAAGTGACTTTAGTAAATACGCAATGCCTTTATTCCCTGACAGTGAGGAGGTACCAAAAAAAAAAAGAAAAGTATCTATAAAAAGGTTGAGTAAAGAATTAATTTAGTAAATAATATTTAAATCAAGGAGTTATTTTTGGATTTTTCTCAAAACTTGAATTGGCTGAAAGTGCTTTAATTATTCTATAATTGCATGGATTAACTTATTCCCACCCCCAAGGGAAAGTCTATTTATGTTCTTGGGGGGTGTCGTGCAAGCAAGGCCAAGATCTCTCAAAGAAATAGGAGGTTGGTGTTGCAGGATATTAATAATCACATGAGTAGCCTGATGTTAAGTATAAAGAGGTTAATAATTCAAATTCTCCTTGTTTTTCCGTCA